ATCATTTTGGTTAACTTATAAACGCGTTCGCAGATAGCAATGCCAACAGAGATGTTCATCAAACAAGATCTTGTAAAGAAACGTTGATGTTACACATCACGATGCCGTAAGAAAAAAAAAGATTTGGCCATGCATCTCATAATGATACTTCTGATCTTATTTATTTCAATCTTTGATCAATCCTCACCTATTTATCGTAAATATTGTTCTGATTTATTAGATGTAGAAATACTACTATGAAGTCCAAGTGGATGATGAAGAGACTAAGTTGCGGTTCCGACATCACATAGGGTTAGGGTTAAGCATTTGATTAGTTGCAGGTATATATTTTGACTAAATTTCACCTGACGTGATGTCGGCTAAATGATCTGTCGGTAAAGTGATTGTCTGTGAAATTATACGGACCCCTAAGTTGTTGTTCGAACGCTTTGACATGTATCAAAAATAATTACGAAATCTGCTACAAGCACTATTGACAATCTTAACAATATGTCATTAAGTTCACTATCTAAGAGACCGAAATATCGCTAATTGTTATATGATTTATTTCCTTAGATCAATTCGTGCAATCCCATTGATCATGGTATTCGTGGTGTATACGATATTAGAAGAATTATTCGATAATGCAATTATCAGAAGATTGACGATTTGGGTTATAGATATATTTATTAATGTCTACCGAACTGAAATTCATTAGAAAAATGATGAAAATCTTTGTTCATGAATTTAATGCAAGAATTATTGCGCTGTTCAAGATAACCGCATAACGAGAAAGATCACAAAACGAAAGACAGTACGATGCACTAATGGGAATTTTACCGCTTTCATCACAATTTGTTGCCGATAATTGGAATTGGCGTATCAGTATTATATTCAAAGTAAAAATTATTTATACTGAGTGGAGCATTCAAAAAGTCAGAAAGTCAGAGGTATACAATTGCAGGGATTGTGAAATTTTAAGAGACAGATGAAAGTGGCATTCGGGATTTGTCTCCGAGCATTACTTGGGTCAATCAGAAAATAGTATACTTATTACGTATTGATTTTATTACAATTCATCTGATTTACCTAACACTAAATTCTTCATCGTAATTGTAACTAGAATTTGGAATGAATTATAGAATTCATTTGAACTTTTTGCTTGGTATTAACAGAACTGATAATTAAACGTTATTTAAGTATTTATACATATATTTTAATTGTTATTTAAGTATTTATACATATAGTTTAAATGTTATTGAAGTATTTATGCATATATTTTAAGACGTGATCGACGTTACACAAGTATTTATATAGGATAGTAGTGTAAAAGCCAGAATTTTCGGTATAAGAGAACTTAAAAAAAAAAACCCAACATGTTATACTTTACTAATAAAATACCTTCGTAACGAACGTCTTGTTAAAGCATCAAGTTGCATCAAGTTTGCATCACGCTATAAAAGGTAGATTTATTATGAGTAGAAGTACTGTCTACCGTATAGTAAGAGGTAAGAAAAGTATATTGTACTGCTTAATTCGCAAAGTTTAATGTTGTTTTTTCTTTTTTTTTTCTTATTATTTAAATTACTAACTTGTTAATTTTTATTCACAAACTTATTTTAAAGTTATACATTCAATGGAAATAATTTAATATGTACGATAGTATAGTTTTATTAATTACGTGAGGTTTTAAGAAAAATGATTGAAGGACATGTAACTTGCTATTAAAACTCTTTTATAATAAGTTTTTAAATTTGTAAAGCTGCTATTACCGTATTGCCTCGAAATAACGCCCGGGGTGTAGGTTAAAAAATTGGCCCGGATTAAGCTTAATTTAAGCCGAATTAAGCTTAATTCGGGCCTACACACCGGGGCGTTATTTGAACGGGGTAAAATCGCCACCCAAAAAAGTTTCGAACATCACGTGACAAATATATCGAGCACCAAAAATTCATGTAACTTGAACAAAAAACACAAACGAAAATTAGACTAACAAAATAATTCACGATAAGCAATAATTGTTACGGATTATCGTGAAATCAGATTATCGTGAAATTTGGGGGTCTCGATTTGAAAATATAAGCCCTACC